TCCAGTGATGTCGTAAATTACCAAAGTTTCTAATCAATCTAAGTTAATTAGTGTTCACCCGATTGTGATGAGATATTCCAACTATAAATAAATATGTTCTTTTCTTTAAGTTATTGCTTTTTTTCATTTTTGTTTATTTGCCTGCTTATATTTATATTGAAAATAACCCGTGCACCCTCTTTGAGCATTTTCATCCTTGATGATTCTTTAAGATCTAGGGTTGGGTGGGTAAAAGTATAGTCTTTAATTAAGAAGACTTCTCCTCCAATCCCTTTCTCATCCCAGTATCATCGTTAAGAATAGGCCCTGTGCCTTTAAGACCCGTATTACTTTCCCATCTCTTAGTCTATCATGTTATTTGATGACACCCATTACTGGATTGAGGCAGTCTAAAAGATAATCTTGTTTACATTTCACAGATGGGGAGACTGAGGCACGGGTAGGTGAAATAGCATGCTCAAGATTACCCAGTAATCAGGGAGAAATCAGGAGCGTAAATCCAGAGTTTCTGACTTACAAAGATAAGAACTCTAAACAATAGCTCGAACCCCAGCCTTTGCTTATATTTTAAGATAAGGGCCTCTCATTTCCCTAAGACTTGGCTTTCCAAGCCTTCAAATGAAGCTAACAATTCCTCCCTGTCTCAAACAGTGTCTTTCGGACATGCCTCAGGAATGCAGAGGCATGACATTTCATCTTGATCCTTCAGACAGATGGCATTTGAAAATTAAGCCAATGAAAGGAGGCATCAGCTGTGTCGGTCAATTTACAGAGAGTCCATCTGCCTTGGGCTCTTGGAGCTGAGGTCATTTCTTCCAAAAGAAAAAGAAAGTTTTTGGCAGATGAAAGCTCAACTGGAGAAGACAGACTTGGTTCATGCTGCCCCAACCAGATCAAGTCTCTTAGCTGGATAGAACAGACTTCTAAATGTGTCACTCATGAAATCAAATTAACCTGAAATGAGGGGTTCCCTCATTTAAGCCCTAGTCTAAACAAGCTTTTCAAAATGTGCAATGTAAACTCTATTTGGACAAGAGTGTATGCATTCATTAGGGGTGCTGAAGTTTGGCCATTCATTCATTCAGTGAATATTTGTTGGGAGTCTACTAGGTTAATACACACACACACACACACACACACACACACACACACACACACACCCCTACATATACATATGTTGTTGTTGTTGTGCCATCCAGTCAATTTTGACTCATAGTGATCCTTTATGACAGAGTAGAACTGCCCCATAGGGTTTCTTAGACTAACATTTATGGAGGTGCCCTGGTGGCACAGTGGTTAAGTGCCCAGCTGCTAACAAAAGGTTGGTGGTTCAAACCCACCAGCTGCTCTGTGCGAGAAAGATACGGCAATCTGCTTCCATAAAGATTATAGCCTTGGAAACCCTATGAAGCAGTTCTACTCTCTCCTGTAGGGTCACTGTGAACCAGAATCAACTCGATGGCAATAGTTTAGTTTGGTCTTTGGAATCTTTAAGGGAGGAGATGGACAGGTTTTTTTCTCCAGCAGAGCACTTGTGAGTTTCAACCACCAACCTTTTGGATAATAGCCTACCACTTAACCATTGCGCCACGAGGCCCCTTTACATATACATATATATACATATACGTAAACATATACACATTCACATTATGATGCATATACATATACAGTACTCCCCAGTGGAATGCATTATTATCAATGCCACTAGTTATGGTATGGCAGGTAGGGTGACAGGCTGATCATTTGACCCTGGTATTGACTGTAAATTCTTTTCACTACAAACTGCTCGGCTCCCAGCGTAAAACATTCAAGAAGCACCAAGTAAACTGATGGAATAAAAACAGGAAGGCCAATTTTGTTTTGTTGTTACTGTCTTTGTTTTTCCTGGCCACACATTTGTATTCCATTCCTCACCCTGTTCTCTTCAGTGCTTGGGGCAGTGGGACTAGAGAGGGAAAGAGAATTCCCCAGATGAAGACTGGCAGATGTAACTGAAGGGCCCCCAGGACACTAGTAGCAAGAGAAACTGAATAGCCAAGTCTAGGATGTTATTCAAAAGAGGGACTCATAATAGCTTTGTCAGCAGAATCTGAAGGGGAGAAACCAGGCATCTTATGTCTGTCTGTTCTCTCTCTCTCTAACTACGTCTCTGCCTATCAATCATCTATCTATCTATCTATCTGTCTGTCTATCTATCTATCATCTATCTGTTCATCTATCTCTTACCTCTCCTCCATCCTCAGATTTTGCTGACGTAATTAGGCAGAAATTAGTCTTTGTGAGAACTGTATTCCAGCCCCAATTTCTGCCACTCTGAAAGGTCTCTTTGTTGAGGAAATGAATTAAGTCATCTTGATAAGAGATCTTATAAGATCTTATTACAATATTACTCCACTTGTCTTCATATTGGAGGAGGAGAAAGGTGGTACCAAGAATCAGGCAATGCCGTGATCTTATCCTCAAGATATTGTATTTTCATTATTCTGGAGGTACTGTGTATAGGGGGAAGATCTCTCCACTAGGCAAGAAAAAAAAAAAAAAAAAAAACCAGGCTCCTATTTCTAGCTCTGCCACTGACTCTTTTCCATGACCTGGAAACAAACTTTTTGCCTCCTCTGGCCCTCAGCTTTCCATTAGGTAAAATGAGTAAAGAGCTGGCATTCTATACATCATCTTATGTAATCACTGCAACAACACTGAGTAAATATTATTATCTGCAATTTTTTTGGATGAGGAAAATGAAGAAAGGTTAAATTATTTTATTTAAGGCCTATATAGCCTATGGAAACCCTGGTGGCATAGTGGTTAGGAGCTACGGCTGCTAACCAGAAGGTCGGCAGCTCACATCCACCAGGTGCTCTTTGGAGACCCTATGCGGCAGTTCTGCTCTGTTCTATAGGGTCGTTGTGAGTCGGAATTGACTTGATGGCAATGGGTTTTGTTTTGTTTTTATACAGCCTACAGATGGCAGATTTAGGATTTGAATTCAGGTTTGCCTGATGCCAAAACCTGGGCTTTTTGCAATTCCTTTTAAGTCTAGATTTATGGCTGGTGACTCTTGGATTGGGCCTAAGTTTTACTATATGTAAATTGGCCACCAAGAGATTGGAGCTACTGAGAAGTGCTGAGCCTGTATTCTTTCCACGCTTGAATTGCCAGGCATGCTACCGGTCAGTAGGGTCCTCAGCTGGCTCAACCCATCATTAAATAATTGAATTATAAGGAATTGATTTATTCTGGCTCCTTTGATAGCATTTCACTATGTAAACTGTTTGCAGAAAAAAACAAAGGATTTTGGAGCTTGGAAGGGGCTCAACATTCTGCTGCCCCTGAATTCAATGACTCTTTTTTCAGATAGCATTATAGAAATCCAAGTTTTATTTCTACTTGACCTGGGCTCCTTCTAGTTGGGGGAATGTTGCTTGAAAGTGTTTCCAGTAAGTACTGATTTCACAAGCTGATTTAATTCAGCCGCATAGGGATAAATCAAACCTCTTAGAATATATTTTGTTCTCTTGACAATTATTTTAAAATGTACAAAGTACTTTTATATCCTATGAGTTTTATGGCTATCCGGTGAGGTTGTCCTGGCTGGGACTATCATTTCTGCTTTACAAAACGGAGACCAGAGGCTGAGACGTGAAGCTAGTTACACAATGTTATGCAGCTAATGTAAGGGACAGAATTCAAATTCTGGCCTTTGGCTCTAAATCCAGTGTTCTCTCCAGGGCTCCACTCCATTTTAGTATAAATAAAGGAAGGCCGTCTTATGTCAAGCACTATTCTTAGGATGACTGTACATCTTGCTTTGCCTAGGGTATTCTAATTTTCCCGGGATATGTCCTATTGCCTGGACATAATTTTTAATTGCATCACTGTCACTCTCTTAAGTGTACCAGTTTGGATGGTAAGTTATATGGTCGCTCTAAGACACTGGGTAGGGTCTGGATTTCAAGGACCTCGCAATCTTTCAGGGGAGCCGCAACCTGTAGATATAATGGCAACAACATGTGATGAGCATTTTTGAACGGAGATCTTTATAAAATAGGAGCCTACCTGGAGGGAGTATTTAGCTTTGCCTAGAAAAAAGTTGGGAAAATATCACAGAATAGCTAACATTAGAATTATTAAATGATGGGCAGGGTGGTCTCTTTCAGATGGCCACATCCAGGTTTCTCTTTGTATTATTCTGTGAAGTACCAAGAAGCACTCGTAGGTCATACCTGCTTGCAAGGCATCCTGCTAGCTCTGTGCTTCTGTGATCTTTGTCCTTGGAGCTAAGTGAGAATCATTGCAGCCAGTTGCAGCGTTAAATCATCCCAAGCAGAAACCCTTGCTGTTATCTGAATTACATGAGAGATTGATAACTCAGGTGGCCTTTAACTGACACTTATAAGGTATCTGACAAGCCCTTAGAAGCCTAGAACATTAGACCGGAAGGGCCCCTTAAAGACCCAATAGTCTAACCCCCTCCTCTACGCTGATGATTGAACCCAGAAAGAGAAAGAAACTTACCTAAAGTAACAGAACAATTTCATTGCAGAGCTGGGATGGAAGCCAGGGTCTCTTGTGTGTTTGTTTACTCATTCTGCAAAACTGAAATCCTCTTTGGAGTTGAATAAACCCTAGCTTGTTACTACGAAGTTCCGTGGTGGCAGATAATGTACCCAAAACTTAGAAATTGAAAACTTGCATTGGATCCAGCATTCACACACTGTATGAACTTGAGCAAGTTATTAAAGACATGTGGAATCTCAGTGTCCTCATCTGGAAGATTAAAATAATAATTAAAATCGTAATACGTTCTCACCGTGGTTATACTGAGGCTCACTTGTGGGCAGTGAATGTGGAAGTGTTTGGAAACTTTTAAAGCGTAGAGATAATGGACTTGACAATGCTGATGGTTTTGTTGATTCTGATTCCAAATCTGCTGCAATGATAGCTGCAGCCAAAAACCAAATACCTACTACTCTCTCCTTTTCTATGTCCCTCTCCTGCAGATGAGCCTAGCCGGTGCTATTTCCATGATGGTGACGGAGTATGTGAGGAGTTTGAACAAAAAACTAGCATTAAGGATTGTGGTGTCTACACACCCCAGGGATTCCTGGATCAGTGGGCATCCAATGCTTCAGTATCCCACCAAGACCGGCAGTGTCCAGGCTGGGTCATCATTGGCCAGCCAGCAACGTCCCAGGTAAGATCTCAGCCCATGTGTGACATTTCCTGCAGACATTCTGAAGCACTACCATATTCCTCAGGGGTGCCCACCTTGAGGGCAGTGTTATTGAAAGTGGCCAAAAGTAATGCCATTTGTCAGGGATTAGACATGGAATGGTTAAGGCAGGGAACCTCGGCGTATTATGGGTAAATATTGCCCTTCTGTTTCCCTAAATACTGTAATTCATATTTGGGGGAAAGAACTCCATTTTGGATATTCCATTGGAATTCAACTGGGTAAGAACATATTCTTTTGGGGGTATTCCACTTATTTGGGGGTACCAAGTTTTGTGTTCCCTGGGCACTCTCCTGTGAGTTAATGGTAACTCTATGATTACTTTGCTGTGTGGCCTTGGACTAGTTTCCCCACCTCTCTGGGCCCCATTTTTTTCTCATCTTTAAAATAGAGGGTAGTTGAGCTTGATGATTTCCAAGGGCTTTCCCAACTCTAAGAAGCTGCGACTCATTCTTTAGTCCCCTAATGTACTATTTATGTTCCTTGGTTTTTCCCCAGAGGTCTGTCAGCTTAGTTGAGGGAGCTAGAGTGTTGGGGCCACCAGAGCTCATGCGATTCTAAGGATGGCCCTGCTGTCCCCAGAGCCGTCTTTCCAATTATACTGCTGAGCAAGCACCTGCCTTCTTCCGAGACTCCCATTTCCCAGAGACACGACTCAGTGCTTCCAACTGCCTGGCCCAGTGGCCATTTCTGAGGCCAGCCTGTGTCCTGGCCTTACAGATGAGCCATTATTGTCAGCCATTCCTCTCAAATATTACTTCCCTGATTTGGAGTCAGCAGGATAGTCTTGGTTTTTAGTAAAAAAGAGATTTGTTCTTCTGGAGCCTAGTGAAGAATCACTGGGTAAGGTACAAGGTAGGTCCCTCTCATTTATTAACAATAGTGTTTATTTGATCATTGTGTTCATTTGTCTATTTGCTTATGTTTACATTTATTAGTTCCTTTATTTATTCATATGCATTTGCTTCTGACAGCCCTGAGAAGAATAGAAAGAAACAAGAACATAATGTTCCCTGATGCTTCTAATGCCATTCTGATGAATGAATGGATGACTAAAGTTCATCCTCCCCCATCCTACCACTGTACTTAATACTCTCATCTGTGGTTGCAGTCATCACACTAAACTCTAATGATCTGTCTCTGTGTCTGACTCCACTATTGGGCTGCTAGTTCTTTGAAAACAGATTTGGGTTTTATTCATCTTGGTCCGCTCATCTTCAAGCACAGGAACTATTAGGTGCTTGGGAAATGTGTGCTTAGTTGACCGTAGATAGACAACACACATACACAGATGCACACACACACCACACACACACACACACACACACACACACACACACACATGGCTAGAGGTGAATGAACAACACTGAGTGAAAATGCTGAAGAACCACTTCTCCATCACCTGGAATGTCTTGCTTCAGAAACAACAGAGCAGGCCAGCAATGGAATCAAGAATTCCAATTTCAACACTCGCCTCCAGTTCCTAGGACTGTTTCTTAAAAAGTCATTCAAACAAGGGAATCATTAATAAACTCAGCATCTCACATGAACAAGAGTTGAGGTAGCAGTGGGCTTAAAAGAATCACCCAAAGGTTATTGCGACTGATGTGAGAAAAGGAGAGAAATAATTTTCCAGTGTTAGCACTTGAAAAAAGACTTCATGGGGCAATTATTCCAATCCTGTAAGGAGGAGACTGTCAGGAATTACGGGTGATTATCTCTTCCTAAACAAAAATCCAATTAAAAAAAAATCATTATAAAAACTAGCCCTTCGATCTACAAAGAGGAGATGAGGAAACAAAATCATCCTATTGAATTATTCATTGTAGGCAATTTTATTTTAATGAAATCGACTAGGTTCCATTACTCTGGGCTTGGACATAATCTTTGTTACAAGGAGACTTCAGCTGTAACTAAATTTGCCATAATGAGATCAGCTCACAGGAGAATACAGGGTCAGGGGAGGGGAGATGTGTACAGGCTGGGTGCAGGACCAGGCGGAGGGTGGCCCGGAGGGCGGCAGAACAAAAGTCTCTTGAATTCCTCATCTGAAATGCCTAGAAGTCATCTATGCCACCACCACCGCATGCATATGCATGCGCGCGCGCACGCACGCACACACACACACACACACGTGCACACTCACACACACATAGAGTCTGCATAATTTTGAGTAAAGGCTTTTCCTGAAGTGGAAATATAGCTCCCTTCCAACAGCAGAGGAGGAAGTGTGACTGTGGACTTCATTACCTTGTACAGTGATTAGAGGAGGTTGGTGGTTAATTTTCACCCTGTCAGGGCCTCCAGTGAAGATGTTGATGACTGGAGAAGAGGTGCTGGGAGGCTCTTAGAAGTTAGGCTTAGCAATAAGGTAGGAAGATGTGTCACGTGCCTTTCCACGTTCCCCCAAGACCAATCGTACTCTCCTCTCCTTCCTTTCCTCCCTCAGAAATGGTTTGGTTTAAGTACTTGCAAAGATCTGGTCTTGTTCTTATTTTGTCTCCCTGTTTTGCATTTCTCTAGTGCTTTACATCAAAGGCTGCCAAAAGAGATGTAGATATTTCCTTCATCCCAGCCCCACCCCCAGAATTTCTACCAAAGTCCATTTCCTCTTATCCAAATAGGCATCTCCTTCCTTCTATAATGGCCCAAGCAGGAAACAGAAATACTAAGAGACTCTCTGGAATGTACAGTACTCTCCTAGGGATCGCAGCCCTTCAGTCAACCAACCAATTTATTTGGTTAATCTTTTGGGAATAAAACGTAGACTAAGCATTTCCAGGGCCAAAGTAAAGAAAACCTTTCTAAGAATAACTTTCTGCCATGGAATGGAGTGCCTACACTGTGATATAGTAAACTCCTCATCATAGAAGGCATTCAGTCTGAGCTGCTGATGGAATATAGGAGATTACTGCATCAGAAGCCAGGTGAGACCTAGGCATCTCCACTTCTTTCATAATTGATTCTCTGATTTTTTATTTCCATTATTGGGTTTATCACTTCTTTGGCATTTCACTTTGAGTTGTTATTATCTGTTCCTTGGCACTGCCATATTACTTTTACCTCTATTAAAATACAAATCATATTTTGTCTTAGATTACAACACTTTATGTGTTAATTCATTTATTCACTGGATCAACCAAAGAGAATATGTTTGAGTCCTACGCTGAGGGACTGTGAGGAGATAGAGAGCATGGGTGTTAGCAGGATGAGGTAGGAATCATGCTTATCTGGCTTTGCCCTCTTAGCTTCTTTTCTTATTTGGGAACCTTGAGCAAGTTCTTCCTCTGAGAACCTCAATTTTCCCTTTTGGAAAGTGGGAATGATAGCATCTACCTTGTGGAGATTAAGGTGTGAAAGCACAGAAATACTTAGCACTGGATTTTTTCACTGGGTCATGTAAATGTTAATGCCCTCCTTCATTCATGTCAGGCCCCCATGCCTCCCCACTTCAGAGATGGCCACAGTGACCCACAGGAGCTCAGGCAACATTTGGTTGAGTTTAATAGTGTTGTGTTATCAAGTGTCTCCTGACTACTCAGAACTGTACCAAGCATTTTGAGAAATGTCAAGGAAGAGCCAGTCCTTTTGCAGTTCTCAGAGAGTTTACAATTGCATTAAAGAGGTATGTCCAACTGAAAATAGTACCCGAAGATCCAAGAGTGAGAGATTCAGAGGAAATTTCCTTGAGTAAGAAACCACACTGCCATCAGCTTACTCAGCCAGCAGGGATGAGAGCCAGCATGTAGGGATGGAAAAATCCTTTGCCCACTTTTAGAAGGTGTTGGACAAATTATAAAATGAAACATTTACCAAGTGAACCCAGGCTCTGTGCCAAATTCCTTGTATCCTCCTAATGCTACTACTAAATAGGTATCAATGTTCTTACTTTACCGATGGAGATGTGAAGGCTTAGAGAGCAGAGTGACTTGCTCCAGGGCTTACAGTTGTAAGGGGCAGAACCAGGATGCAGGCCACTGTGCTCCTAATAAGAACTCGGTATGGGGTGAGGCAACTTACACTTGCTTCAATGGCTAACACGTGAGAGCAAGCTAGGAGAGCTGATGTCTTTTGGATCTTTTCATGTGTGGCATGTATTTAAGGAACATCACGGAAGTGGCTAAACCCCTCGCCAATACTCCACATATTGTCCCCATGGTTTCTGCCATGCCACCTAGAATTCCACCTTTAGGCACTATTCTTTTAAATTAAGCATTACTCTCTGCAGAGAGTCTTCTCAAATATGTATGTGGAAGTATGGGAGAAACACAGGAAATGTTTTCAGTTGCCAACCCCTGAATAAAAAAAAAATCTTAGCTTTTTGGGAGGGTAGAAATTCCTAATTATTTCTCTGGTATGAGCCTGTGGTCTGAGAAAAAAAGGAAGAAAGCACAAATAGAATAATTGTAGATGGAAGAGGAAACTGCTCAATTTACAGTTTTGTCACAAGCCATGCGCTATACGCAGGAAACCTTGAAAAGTCAGTAATAGAAGAACTGCAGGATGTGTGCGTTCCTTTCTGGCCGCCATGTTCAAGCCTGGAAAGCAAGAACCGTTCATTGGTATCTTCTTCATCCTTGTGTCCAGAGCAAAGGCCCAGATACCAACTGGATTCTCTGGATGCAAGGATAAGAAATCTTTCCACAGGCATTTACGATGCAGTGTAGAAAGTGTTAAGATCAGGAAACTCTGAGGAGGGTCAGAAAATATTTCCTGTGGAAGGGATTGTTAAGGTGTGACTAGAAAGATAAAATAGGGAACAGCAGACAATAAGGGTGAATAGGAAGAGCATGTCAAAGACAGAGTAGCAGAAGTAAAGGAGAGAGAGACAAACAGGCAGACAAAGAATATGAATGACAAATCCTAAAAACAAAAAAAAATTTTTTTAAGGCCAATAAGAAATAAAGGCGAAGGAAGACAAAAGGAGTTGATGTGTTCAAACTGTGGTGTTGTCAAAGACT